GAACCTTACAGTTTGGTGGGGAAAGACCCCTCACCAGCTCTGATGGAGATAAAATTGGCCCTTCAAAGGTGGAAAAGACCCTGAGGGGCGCAGTTCAGGTGATGGCCATAGTATGGCAAAGGCACAGAGGCCAGGAGGTCAAGGAGCATGTGTATCAGGAGCCTGGGTGGGAGCGGACCTGGGGCTCCTGCTCTCCCTGTGGTCACGTTTCCCAGCAGCAGCTCTCATTTGATTTGCCCATCGGGCAGGCACTCAACATCCCCTTAGTTCATCCTCACAAGAAGCCTGTGGTGTCTCCATTTGACAGATGAGGAGACCGAGCCAGGGGTAGCATCCCTTATATCTTCCATCTGTCGAAGCACCCTCTGGGTCTTGCCCTGTATGTATGTCCAGTCCTTCCATTTTCGTGTCCTCCCTAAACTGACCCCATCTCACCCTTTTGTCACCATAAGCTCTCAGCCTTTCAGATCCCTGAGCTGCTCAGCTGTGCCTGCCTGGAACCCTCAACACGACTGTGTCACATGCTCCAGGCTGTCCAGATCTCAAGTCCCACGCATGTGCAGGTGTCTTCTACCCAGACTAGCTAGAGAGCAGAGGCCATCGCTGTCCATCCCCAGACCCATCTGACCAAGCAGCACAGAACCATTTGCAATGTGTTCTCAGAAATCTAGTCTCATTTGAAGCCTTGCACATATATTTTTGATGTTAGGGTTCTTCTCCTCCCTATTGTAGAGAGAAAGAAACTGCATAGATAAGGTGTGACTCTGCCCTAGTTTTCTGACCTTTGGATAGGGGTGGGTGGAGACCGAGAGAGGCTGGAGAAGAAAAGAGCACCTACCAGGGCCCTCCCTGTTCCCATTGTGCCTGCACACAGTAGGCACTCAACAAGTACCGACTTGGTCTTCTGGTGGGCACTAATCCTGACCCAGCACTTCTAACAGCAAAGTGAGTGAGGCAAGGGTGGATTAAGGAACTCAAAAGGATTACTCAGTAATCGGCTAACGCACTTAAGCTTCCTGGGAATAGACGACAATCACACTGTTCATTAATTTATTTAACAAATGATTGTTGAGCATGTAGCTGAGCTGGAAGGAGGGTGACAACGATGACATTGCTCAGTTACTAAGAATCTACTCTGTGTCCATCAACTCCGTGAGGTTGAAGGACCTTGTAAAAGATATTTTATTGTTTGTAATAGGGAAGGAGCTAGTTTGGGACTCAGGTGAGGCTAATGACAGGTGGAGCACAAGTTTGAGGAGGCATTTGTTCCCACTTGGACAACACTGCCTCACCCTCCTTCCCACCACAGTGCTTGTGGGGAACACTGTGGTGGGCTGCCCAGAGCCCCTTCCATGAAATAGTTGCCCAAGCTGCTGGGAGTGCTGTCCACAGACCACCTTCCCGTGGGAGCTCCTCAGAATGGGCTCAGCTGGGCAGAGCTGTTCCTCCTACGGCCAGGCCTTTCCCTGGGCAGCTGCATCTGATGACTGATGGGGGCAGAGTATAATGGCCTAGCTCAGGATGACTCTGAAGGGCCCTTCCCCGTGGGGTTGGCCAGGCTCTTGCTGGGCCTGCTTTGTAGCTTCTGCTTCCTCCCTCCCTCCCTCCCGCAGTGTGGAGCCTGATGGCACTCCCTAATAAATCTCTTGCAAGCTGAACCCCATTGCAGAATCTGCGTCCTGGGGAACTCAACTTGCAATAGTGTCACTGTTGGGGTAACCTCTTTATAGTTGGTTAAAGCACAGCATTCCTAAAGACTCTAAGACAAGGATATCCCCAAAAGCCAGGCTCAGGGATAATAGTACTAACTACAAACCCTACTGTTCTACACACTTCACCTGAATTCACTTATTTAATCTCCGTAGCACCTCTGCAGGGGGTGGTACTATTGGCATGCCCATTTTTTWAAAAAATTTCAGCTAAAATAGCAGAGTAGATGGTTTATAGTGCACATGTAACACTTGGTGAAACTGAGATAAGAACTAATTCAGAATGCTAAAGATCCTGGGCAAAGGACCACAGGGACTGTGAAGAGCAAGGTGGGTCTTAGAGGAGGTCTTTGGGATCAGATGGTGATGGAAATTCTAGATCAACTGAGATAAATTCTGAACAGTAGCTTAGTACCCATTTTACAGATGAGTTTGAGAGAAGTTCTACTTTTCCTGAAAGAAAAAAAAAAAAAAAAACCCAAAGGATTGTTGATAAGATCTAATCAACCAAAAGATAATTCAAAATTAAGAATATCAGTCTGGGGTCAGGTATGGTGGTAAAAACCTGTAACCCCAACTACCTGGGAAGCTGAAGCAGGAGGATCTCAAGTTCAAGGACAGACTGGGTGACACAAAGATACTCTCAAAGACAAAAACAAAGCCAGGTGCAGTGGCACCCACCTGTAATTCCAGCAATTCTGAAAGCTGAGGCAAGAGAATTGCAAGTTCAAGGTCAGTCTCAGCAATTTAGCAAGGCCCTAAGCAATTTAGCAAGACCCTGCTTCAAAACAATGAATAAAAAGGGTTGGGGATGTGGCTCAGTGGTAAAGTGCCCCTGGGTTCAGCCCCCAGCACCAAACCAAGCCAAACCAAACAATCTAGGGAAACTTTCATATGAATAGGAATTAAAAAAAAAAAAAAAGATAGGAACAAGTCCTGCCTGAGCCACAACTCAGGTCATAGCTTTTAGGGAGTCTAACCCCTGACTCCAAAGACCCGACCCAGGTATGAGAGTAGAATCTACAGGGCAGAGGGGCATCAGGTTGCTTTAGGTGAGAGACCCCTTGGAACTCTGGAAGCTGGTGAGTCTGAGGGGTTGGGGGAGTCTGAGGGGTGGTAGCTCTGCAGGGGACTCCCTCCTCCACTTGMGCTTTGACTTGGAACATGGAAGGTATTGGGTTTCGGTTGAATCCTTTCCACATGGAGAGTGCTTGAAGATTGTCAACAGATATCAACCCATCCCTGCATTGGTTCCTCCTCACTAATGGTGAGGTTTACATCTTGTAAAGTAGCAGGGCCAGGACATATTAGCCTCATTTTATTGGTGGAAAAACTGAGGCTCAGGGAGAAGGGAATCAAGGCAGTGTTCAAACCGGGGTCTAACCTTCCTGTCCCATTGCAGCTGCTGGGTTTCTGTTTCTGACCTGGGTTTCTGGGCAAAGCTGGAGCAAACGCTGGCCTTTCAGCCCAGAGCTCAGGCCATTCTTCCCTAGAAGCCTCTCTTCTTTTTCTCCATCCTATCCCAGAAGGTCCTGTCACATCAGGGATTACCTTTATTCATTTATCAAACACCTCCTGTCATTCATTCCATGCCTGTCCTGACAGTTTCAAGGTTGGTACTAACACAGGAGAACCTTTGGCTACGGGAGAGTCACATTGACAAACTTGGCCTTACAGCAAAGCCCAACCACCGGGGACAGAAGGTCTCAACCCTGTGTTTCTTCTCCAGTTTCTGGAGTTCATTGTCCTAGAGAATGCCCCCCTGCCTGATCCTGGCTCTGTCTGCAGTGTCTCTGACCCAGCTTCCTCCCCACCTTTGTCTCTTCCAGTCTTTCTCCCACACCCTCAAGGATCTTTTTAGAGACAATCAACAGCAGAGGGTAGGCCAGGAACTCATATGGGTGATCAGGACTCTGAGGCTAAATCCTGCTAGGCCTGGGCAAGCTCCGGACCATGGAAGGAGAACTGTGCTGACCTCACAAAGTTGTGATAAAGCTGCTAGACTTTTCTTGTCCCTTTTAGACACTCTGAACCTTCCCTCCCCAGAGATTCCTTGGACTGGTATGTTTCCCTGCCTTTAAACAGGTTGTTTTCCTAAAAACATATTCAACAATCCAGACTCTTATCACATYAAATGTCACACCTCAACCAGCTGAAACTGCTCCCTCTTCTGGGTTTGCCCATTTGGCGATTCCCCCTGCATTCTGGCTTCATCATGTTATACTAAGATTAGTTATTCCCAGGTCTGTTGTCTACTCCCACCTGGACTGTGATTCCAAGAGGGCATACAGCCAGGAATAAAGCTGGTGCCAATTCATAGAATGATCCTCATCATCATTTACTGAGGGCTGTCTAGGAGCCTGGCACTCTGCTAAAGGCCTCACAAACACCTGAGGAGAAAGGAGCATCTCCCTCTGAGGAAATAGCCTGGGAAGTCTGAAAGGATGATGTCTTGGACACTGGAGAGTCATGATCCAAAGCCAGGGCTATCTGACTCCTCAGGTACAGCCAGCTCCTCCACAACTCCACCAAGCTCCCCCCACCCTAGGAGCTGGGAAGGCCAGTGGGTTATTTTGCCACCCTGTGGCAGTCTCTGCCTTCCAGGTTATGACATCACAATTGCACAACTTACAAGATATTTTGGAAAGAAACTGTCGGTTTCCTGTCCTGGGCACTGCTGGGGGATGTGGCTCCCCTCCCACCCAGAGTCTTCAACAGCCTCAGGACTCTGGAAGCTAAATATAGCTGGGAGTTGGAGTGATAAGGAAATGAAAACTCAAAGACTATAAAGTGACCCAATTTTATTTTGGTTTTGGAGGCCAGATGGGGCATTGCTCCACTCTGCAGGGTATAGAGCTGTACAATCTTCCCCTCCSGCAGGCCAGAGGCCCTGCGAGGGTAGGGGCTCAGGCGGCGGGGGTGCRGCTCAAGGGCTCAAGGAATGGTGGCTCCAGGGGACCCAGTTCCCGTAGTGGGCTGCACAAGAAGAGGGGAAATCAGGCAGAGGCCTGCCATGGCTCAGATTGGGGGGAGGGGCCGAGAAAAGAGACAGGACACAAAATCCAAGAAAGTGGAGTCCAAAAGCTGGTCCAGTCTCCTTCACTTTGGGGTTCAGGTAGGAGAAGTGAAGCCAACTGTCACCCCGAGGAAGGCAGGCCAGGAGTCCCAGCCCCTGGCGGCGCTCTGCGCACAAACCCGCCGCCTCCACCCTCACAGAGGGTGTGTCCGGGGCCGGGTCGCCGGGTGCGGAGTCCCTCAGGAGGTCAGGCCCGCTTCTCCTYAGCGGCGCGCTCAGCAGCTCACCGAGCCGGCGGGAGGCACCGACCCCAAGTCCGAGAAGCAGTCGAACTCGCTCTGGCCCAAGAAGAGCTCGGGCAGCTCGCGCACGCGGTGCAGCCCGAGCTCGAGCTCTAGCGACGTCAGCGCCTCCTCGTCGATGAGTTCGGCGGCGTCGATGCCGCCCAGGACGTGCGCTGGCGGCGGCGGGGCCACGGCGGCGGGCTGTGGCTGCGGGCCTGGGGGGCCTCCGGGGGCGCCCGGGGCTGCGATCGCGCGGCCTGGGTACAGTGTCGCCACAGGCTGCAGGTGCGCGCTGCCGGCGGTCGGCGGCTGCACGGCCGGAAAAGGCTGGAAGGAGGACGGCGGCCCGAAGGCCCCGTAGGACACGGCCCCGGGTGGGGGCGGGGGCGGTCCCAACGGAGCTCCCCGCGGCCGCAGCCCGCTGTCCATACCCGGGCCCGCGTACGGTTGCAGAGTCCGAATCCCGTGAGGGCCGTGGTTGGTAGCGGCCGGCGGCGGCCTCTGCACTAGGCGGTAGCCCTCGGCGAGCATCAGGTGGTCAGCCATGGCAGAGTCTGGCTGCCTGTGGGGGCAGCGGGCGGATGATCAGCGCGGGCGCCCCCCCAGGACCCGGCCAGTGCTCCTCCGAGGCAGGAGACCCAGGCGCCGTGCCGTACCTGCAGCTCAGTCAGGTAAAGGAAAACTGAATCCGACCGGTTCTCCTGCCTAGCCCAGAGCGCACGGAGAGTTCCACGCTCCGGCGCACCCCACGGCCCAGGCTCTGGGCAGCAACAGAAGCTAACACCTACTCGGTCCCGCTCCAAGACCTGCGCGTGGATCCAGGGGGCCCGAGACCACTTATACCCAGAGGCGGGGATTCCCCGCCCCAGGGCTATCATTGGCTGGATGAAACGCTTCTGGGCGTGCCACGCGCGCCTAGATCTAGGACTCAGCCCCATCCCCCGATGGAGCTCTGTCCTTTGAGTCCCAGGCCCCACCCCAGGCTCTGACTGCTGAGGGCGGGAGAGGTGTTTGGCACTTTCCAGAGGGGCTTGATCTGGCTTTTGGGGGCTCACTCCAGACTAGGTTGGAGCCGAGCTTGAATTTAGCAGACGGTGAAGTGGAAAGGTCAGAGGTTTAGGCGCTCTAGAGCTGCAGAATCTCAGTCCCACCAACCTCTTTAATTTTCCAGATGGAGTCCAAGGCTCAGAGGAAGAGGAGGTTTCCTGGGAATACAGATCAAAGGGAGAGGGACTCGAACCCATGCCGGTGACTGCATCATTTACACAGGGCATAGGCACCTCAACAGTGCAAGGTCTCCCGCGTTCCCACCCATCCATCCCCATAACCTCAGGGAGCCAGTTGCGTCTTTTCTGGCTCCCACTGCACCTTGTCTGTTGAAGCATGTACTGAGTTGTTATTAGAGTAATTTATGGGCATGTCTCCTGAAGGACTTGTTCATCTTCTTATCCTCAGCGCTTGGCCCAGAGCCCAGCCCAGAGCTGGCTTTGGGTAAAAGTCAAGTGAATGAATAAATGACGGAATGAATTGCAATTCATACACCTGAGCTTCAGTTTCTTCATCTGTAAGACGCTGACAACAGCAGCACAGCTCCTACTGCAGTATGGCAAGGGTTAAATGAGGGCAGGCTTGTAGAGTGCCCACCACTGTGACTGGTACACAGATATGCAGAAGCATTCCTTCAATGAATGAAAGGCTGGATTTAGCACAGTTCATAAGGACTTCCCTCTGGGGGATTTCACACCTTCCCTGGATAATAACACCCCGTTTTGCAGACAAAGAGACTGAGGCACACAAAGAGAAAATGGCTGTCCAGTGAGCATAAGCAATGAATTGGCATGTGAATGCTCTGTGTTCTCTGAGCTCTTAGAGCAACTGGAATCTTTCCCATGTCCAGGAGGCAGCCTCCCAGAACCTTGACCCCCACGTGTTTGCCACTCTTTTCCTCCCTCCTCTGACTCCCCTCCCCCAGTCGCTGCCTTGGGACTTCCTGGAACTTGTGTTTATCTAATTGGTGTAGAGTGGAGAAGCCTAGAGTGAGAGTTCAGAAGGCCAAGTTCTAATCATGGCCCTGCCACCTGCAGGCATGTGACCCTTGGTTGTTGTCTGGGGGTGGGAGGGTATCATTTGATTCCCCAGGGCCTCAGCTTTCAGTTCAGTGAAAGGGAGATGGCGATCCATGCCTGAGAGTTTGTGGGAAGATCACAAATGACCTCAGGTGTGATCAGCATTTTTACAAAGTGTAAAATCTGCATGCTGAATTCCCAAGTCTTTCTCTTCAATGAAGGGAAGACTACACACAAATGCCTAAATCCAGATTCACTTGGAGGTATATAAGTGTATGTGTGGGAGAGCTTTGAAAAAGACAGAATATCTGGCCTCACCCTAACCCCCAACTCATACTCTCTGAGGGTATTTTTGAATATAGAAATCTGTGTTTATAAAAATTATTCTACCATTCTGACACAGTTGATTCAAGGACACCAGCATTTTGAAGTTGTTGCACCACAAGACAGTTTTTGATTTTTAAAAAATGTGTGTGGATAGTGTTTTTAAGTTCATTAATTTGGCCAATAGTTATTTATCCAACACCTACTCTATGCCAGGTGGTGATCTACTTGTGATTTTTAAGCTCTTGGGGTCTTGCAACTCTCTTGAGAATTTAATGAAAGCTTCAGATATCATGGGGACAAACTATTGTGTATGTATCCAGTGGGCTAACTGATCTGGTGGAGGATGGTCTGTGGACTTCTCAGGAGTTTATAGAATCTGGGTTAAGAATCCCAGTCAAGCACTTGTGGACGTACAGTAAACAACAAACTAAGTAAAATAATAATCCACATGTTAGAAAGTGATTTTGCAATGTGGCAGAGGGGTTGAGTTAGGGAGAAGATTGGGGTGCAGTGCAGTAGCAGGTTGTAGATTTGCATAGGGTGACCAAGGTAAGCCTTATAGAGACTGTGAGGTCTGAGCAGTGATTGAAAGAGAAGGGGGCCTTAGCCATGTGGTGTCTAAAGTCAAACATGTTTGGTATGATGCAAAAACTTTGGATTTCAGAGCATTTCAGATTTTCAAATTTGGGATGCTCAACCAGAAAGTCTATACAAATATTCCCAAACCTAAAAACCTCTGGAATCTAGAGAATTTATGGTCCTAAGAATTTTGGGTAAGGGCTACTCAACCTGAACTATCACTCCCATTTTACAAGGAGGCAACTGGAACTCAGAATGAGAGGTGATCTGCCCAAGGTCACACGGCTAGCTAGTGATGGAAGAGAGAAGTGTGGCAGCCCCACTAGTTGCCTCCAGGGACAGCTCTCCTTCCCTTTGTTACCAGCATACCCCGTTAGCTCCTGGCCCACAGCTCTCATTGCTTCCTCTGCTTGGAATGCTTTCCCCTTCTCCCCCTTGTCTGCCTGGACAGTTTCCTCATCTCCTTCAAGTCTTCCATCAAATATTAACTTTTCTTTTATCCTGGTCACCCTACTTAATTGCAGTGGTTTCCAAATATGTCCACAAGTTCTTTGATACTCCTCCATTAATTCCCCTCTCCCTGAATGCGGAGTAGATATCATGACTCACTTGTAACAAATAGAAAATAGCAGAAGTGATGGGGACAGTTACAAGTCTAGTTCATAAAAAATAGTGTGGGTTCCTCCTTGCTCTCTCTCTCTCTTGAATCATTACCTCTGGGGGACTTTAGCTGACATGTTGTGACGACACTCAAGTAGTCATGGAGAGGCCCGTATGGCAAGGAATTGAGGCTTCTTGCCAACATTCGGTGAGTAACTACTGCCTTTTGCCCACAGCTATATCTGTGAGCCATCTTAGAAGTGAATCCTCCAGCTCCCATCACATTTCCAGATGACCACAGTCCCAGCCAACCTCCTATTTGCAACCTCATTGAGAGATCCCAGAATGACTTAGCTAAGCTGCCCTTGGATTCCTGACCCACAGAATCAAAGGGAATAAGAGTTTGTGTTTTAATCTGTGAAGTATTGGGGTAACTTGTTACACAGCAGTAGTTATCTATAACGAATACATTAACATAGCAATCTGTTCCTGTTCAATCCCTGGAATGAGACTTACCTTACTCTTCTTGAAGTTTTTTTTCCTAAGCATTTATGGTCTTCTAACACAATAATTAATTTGCTTATTTACTATGTTTAATTACTTGTCTTCCCACCAATAAAGCATCAACTCCATAAAAGCAGGGAACTTTGCCCATTTCTATCAGGCACCCCAAACAGTGCCTGAAAGTACTATATTTCATTAAATATGAGATGTTATCAATTTAAAAGAACTTGTGTGTCTTCCAATTAATCAAATATAGTTGTAGGTGCTCTAAGTATTAGAATATAGAGTGACAGATGTTGATTTTATTTAGGGCAGCAATGTGCCCAGCCAAGAATCAGACACATTCCTGGACAATGAGATGTGAGCAAAAGAGACTGGGTAGGGCTTCCTGGAAAGCTCTTTAAAAACAGATGGAATTATTCAGAATAGATAAAACCACAGAGAGATTGGGGGTAGGGGGAAACAGGGAACAACTGCTTAGAAGGACCAGGCTTCCTTTTGAGGGTGACAAAAAGGTTTTGGAACCAGAGCTGGTGGTAGTTCAATGCAGTCGTATGTATTAAATGCCACCAAATCACTCACTTTAAAACATTTAATTTTAATGTTATATAAATTTGGGAAAAAATTTAGTTTTTTACGAAAAAAAAAAGAGATRGATTCAGCCCACACTCACTTTGTTTTGCCATTCCTCCATTCTTGCCAGGGATAAAGATGTGATACCTAGAGGAGCAGCAGCCATTTTTTCAGCCTGACATCACCACCATCCCCACTATTATCACCACCACCATTACCACCACCATCATCATCACCATTATCATCACAATCATCATCATCATCATGGCTAACATTTTTAAAGCACTTACCATGTACCAGATACTCTTCTAAGCTCTTTGCAAATATCTCATTTAAATTTGCAGCAGCCCTATAAAGAAGTTACTGTTATTCCCATTTTTAAAAATATATTTTTAGGGCTGGGGTTGTGGCTCAGCGGTAGAGCGCTTGCCTGGCACATGGGAGACCCTGGGTTCGATCCTCAGCACCACATACAAAAATAAAAACAAGTGAAATAAAGGTGTTGTGTCCAACTACAACTAAAAAATAAATATTAAAAAAATATATATTTTTTAGATGTTGATGGACCTTTACTTTATTCATTTATTTATATGTAGTGCTGAGGGTCGAATCCAGTATATTATACATTCTTGGCAAGTGCTCTACCACTGAGCCCCAGCCCCAGCCCTGTTATTCCCATTTTTTTCCATGAGAAAACTGGTACAGAAAAGAAAAATATGTCCTWTGCTAAGGATGGCAGAGTGGAATGTAGTTGAAGCCTGTGCCCTCCATGCACCATGGAATCACTGCAGCAGCCCAGGATGCCTACCTTGGTCTTCTAAACTATTTGAAAAAACACCCACTATTTAGTTAAGCTTCTGTGGTTTGGTTTCTGTTTTGAATCCTAAGATTCAAAGC